GGAGTAGGAGTAGGAGTAGGAGCAGTTCTTGTTGTTGTTGCTGCTGCTATTGGTGTTGTTGTTGTTGTTGTTGACACCACTACCACTATCACTGGGACGATCACTGCGACGATGACGAGTACGACGACCACTACTACCATGTGGTAGTGGCAAGAGAAACCATAACTGCAGTAGCAATGGTAATTGCAGCAGAAACAGTGATAGTAAGCGTGACTCATAGCAATATAGTAGTACCGTCCGTCTGCACCAGCCTCCCGCCATTTCCCCCCGTTCCTTCGATTCAAACCTGCCAACTAATCCACCTGTCTTGTTGTGGGACTTAGCAAGATACGCCTCCCAGACATAAGTTGTGCATCACAGAAGCATCATCTGCATCGCAGCTGGGACGATCTTTGGGCACATGTTGTACCTTGGATTCGGGCAGAACATCTGGGAATCAAGAACACATGTTGAGCCACAATGGTGATGGTCGTGAACATGGCTTTGATGATGGTGACGGTCGCGATGATGATGCGTGTGTGTATGCTATTCGCGCTGGTGGTCCGGATCATGCGCCGGCTGACGTGAAGGGGAGGAGGATGGGGAGTGGGAGGCATACTACTCACGAGTTCTGAATTCCTTCCACATTTTGTTACGGCTTGAAAAGCTTCATTTAGACGGCTTCTGTGGGAAGTGCATGGCTGTCCTGGGTACAAGCAGTGTACGAAAAGCCTCCCAACAATCAGAGAACCTCAAACCCTAGAAACCGAAAACCAAACCAGAGAAAGCGAGAGTTGTCCCTAAATCCCTGCATAGACGCAGACCTTCCCTGAAGCGTGCCAGGCACTAAAAGCAAACTCGACGAGCCCTAAACACGAAACACAACCCCTCCCTCCCCAAACGGTCTGTTTCTCCGGGGGGCTCTTCCTCTAAAGTCTTCGGTCGCGCACCCTCGCTGTCTGTTTGGACTTCGAGCTCCTTCCAAGTGTGGGCGGGTGTACATACTAGTCGCATTTGAGATTTCACACGGGCCCTAAACTTCTCTAAGGGTACAGGCCTTTCGGGATCTGAGGGTTTGAGGTTACCCGGGCCGAGTCTGGAGCTTCACTGTTGGAGCTTGATTGGATAACATGTCAGCATCTCCGAGAACGATGTATCCGTGTGAGCTGCCAGGCGAGCGCATCACACGGGGTTTAGGGTTTAGGGTTTAGGGTTAAGGCTGCTTGCGGCGGTATGTGGTTCGAGATCTGCGAGCACACACTCCCCTCTGGACCCAAAAATTCTAAACCCTAAGAGCAGATGATACTTTGGGGCTCAGGATGTGCTGAGCGGCCCAGCACTGCCACCCACCGTAATGTAGGAGCCTGAATAATTTTAGAATAGGGTTTTGGGGTATATTCTACTATACTTATCATAAAGAACCTCCAAAAAAGTATAGTTAATTGGCGCGGCCGCTTTATTCGTGCGAGGGAGGCAGTTCTGGGGTGTCGCTTACACTGCGATGCGTAAGAGTCCTGTGCTAGTGAGCTGCTGTTTGCCTCTACATACTTACGCTACGACATATCCCAGAAATCCCCAGAAGACAAGTCCAATTACAAAGGCGCCTATATTATGAATTATGTTGCTTAAGGATATGGTCGAAAGCATTGATGGCCTTGGTAGCGACACTAGGATGTAGCAGTCTATCTTTACATTACAGATAGATGCTGTCCACGAGAGATGACAAGAGCCCAAATGTCTTGGGTTTAAGACTCTCATGATTGAGGGAGATGCTTTGTTTGGGAGAATCACGCGATTTGTGATTTCGTGCATCGGCTGTCTCTGAGTCTCCGATACCTGCAGTTTGCTTGGCCTTTAAATCCCAAACCCTAAACTGCTTGTGAAGTCTTCTTGCCGTCTCCCACACAGCCCAACCCAGAGCCATGTCTCCTGAACCCTTGATTATTCTTCCCTTTTCTGTTTGTTTTGTATTTATACAGGTATATGTATATGTATATATATATATACATCTGTACATACAAAAATACAAGTTTACACGATAGGTACATATATATATATATATGCCATGACTTGGGAGACACAGACCCTGAATAGTATGGTCCTTACTACACTACACGGACCTCTAAACAAGGTAGCCGTATTTTAAGAAGCCACAACTTGGCTGAGGCACATCTTCCCTGAAGCAGCCGATGTACCGGTCGTGATGGTACCTCTCTGTGAGGCAGTGCTTCTCCTGACACACAGTGTTAAAGCCATAAGCATTTTTGACTAGGACACATTGCGCATAAGCCGGCTGTGATCTGAAAAAACATCTGATATATGTGTTACGTACGTATGTACGTATGTATGCAGGCATGTATGTATGTATGAACGGATGGATGAATATCTGTCTGCATGCCTGCATTCATGCATGCATGTGTGTAGTACATAGTTATTTACCTATCTACGCATCTGTATGTCTGTCTGCATGTCTGTCTGTCCGTCCATCCGTCCGTCTGTCTGTCTTTCTATCTACCTGACTACCTACCTGTCGGTCGATCTATATGACTATCTATCTGTCGGTGCGTCTACCTACTTGTCTATCTATGTATCTATCTGTCAACCCCATCTAGCTAGCCAGCTATCTAACTAGCTTTCGATCTAGCTGAAAGTCTGCCGGTCTACCTATCTTTCTATGTTTATCTACCTCTCTATGTTCCCTCCTTCTCCATCTATCTATCTATCTATCTATCTATCTATCTATCTCTCTCTCTTTGTCTGTCTGTCTGTCTGTCTGTCTGTCTGCCTGTCTGCCTGCCTGTGTGCCTGTCAATTGTCTATCTTCCCATCTATCCACTACTTACCTACCTGCCTGCCTACCTGCCTACCTCCCTACCCGCCTACCTGCCTGCTTACCTACCTGTTTATCTGGATGCGTGCAGTGTCTCGCTATGGATGTATGAACGGACATACGCTTTGGCGTGCAGACATACATTCATATGTACCATATATAGGACAGACAGACAGCCAGCCGGCCCGCCGGCCCGCATCTAGACACACAGGCAGGAAGGTATCATTGTCCATCTCTCCGTCTGTATTTCCTCTAAGTTTTTTACTTGAATCTACGTTATTCGGCTAGAAGTCTGCACTGCAGCACTTCTGAAACCTTACCGCCTTCTGCCCCAAATGCTTAAATGCACAACTGACAACGCTGAACTCCGTGCTTTCATCCGGGACACAACGCACACAGTTCAATGTCTCGGGATCGTGCACAGACATTTGCAGGCTGAAGCATTGGGCTTGTATAATCCTCACTTCCGCACAAACTCAGGCCCAAAAGACCTAAAAGCACGCAGTCCTAAACCTAAACACTAGCTCGTGCATCAGGCATGAACGATGATCCAAACGTCTCGGAAGCTGTTGCATCTTCCTGACTTCGAGACAACGAACACCTGCTAACCCGACACCCAAGCCTTGAAGAGGCCCGGGGCCTGAAACACCGGAGTCTGAAATCCCAGGAACTGAACTATTCAGAGACATATTATAGAGGGGCCAGGGTTTGAGGATCTGTTATACTATACTTATAATAAGGAGCACCCAAAACCCTATTCTAATTTGCTAACGCCTGTGTTATATAAGTGTCATGGTAGCTTCTTCAGTTCGCTCTCAGTGTGCCTCGCGGATTTTGGAAACCCGACGAAGCTCAATCCGAACTGCAACGATGCCGATCTGCTAGGCCAAACCAAAGGTTTGGGCTTAGGAATTCAGGAGCTGTTGTCATAGGTATGTATGTATGTATGTATGCATGCATGTATGTATGTACATATGTATATACACATATACATAGACTGGTATAGGGTCTAGCTGAAGTTTAGCTAGGTGCGAGGATGCGATACGATAGCTCCGACATTCCACAAGTCCAAACTGTGGAGGTGGCAGCGCATGCTCGTTGTATCGGCTTTGGGCTATTGGCAACCAATAAGTGCTATCCTGAAGCACTTGCACGCTCAAGCAATCCCACGCCAGAAACCACAAACACGTGCAACGAAGGCTCCTTTTTGACGTCGTAGTAGGCCACAGCGCCAATCTTACCATGCCAGCCGATTGTCTTGATCTTCACAAGCCCTCGGATGTGTCCCTTCTCTTGTTGCTCTGAGCCCCATGGATTCAGGTCCTGCGGCAAGCCCAGGCGTGCTCGCACCTTACCGGCGTTGTCACCAATGACCATGCTGATGCTGCAGCGGCTACAGTATTCAGTAGCCAACTCCAATGACTCTAGCAATGACTTCAATGCAAGCTCACCAATCTTGGGTTTCGGACAAAGCGCGGGTCTCGCTTCCCTCGGGACATCCAGCAATCCTCCCTTGATTCTGAAAGTGCCCCGCCCACCGTAACTTGAAGCGCGAGCTGCGATCCTTCAACCCACAGCTGCCGACGTAGACCCCGAACCTGCCCCGAAATACACACACAACCCTGAACCCATCACTCATGGCTCCTGAGTCATAGCCGTGCAAACATCAGTAGCAACCTTCATGGAGAGATGGTAGCCAGGACCTGGGCCACAAGATTGAACCGGCGAACATCTGATCCTAAACATAGAAGAAGGAGGTTGTGGGGTCTATTCTCGTACAATATCCTTGTACCTTGTAGGGACTTCGATTAAGGGGATCCTACCTCTACCGTGGACCAGGAATACGCTGTTGGACGATGTCTCGCTCTCGGCTGATTTTGCCGGTGCCTGCCATGCTCAACCAGCGGCATGCCGTGTGCGAGCAGGAGCGAGCGCTCCGGAGCACGAGTCGCTGGTACCGACGAGGGTTCAGCGAAGAGAGGTGGGATACAGTAAATTATGTATGCACGTTACAACAAATGTATGTGATAAGTCATGGCAAGACATGATACGGTGTGATATGATATGATATGATATGATATGATATGATATGATATGAAAGTCATGACGTGCTATGGCACGAAAAATGAGATACGATAAAATGAGATGAGATGGGATGAGTAAGATCGGATAAGATATAACAAGATAATATGAAATGAGATGAGATGAGATAGTGTACGATTTATACAGTTATTTCTTAAACATTATCTGGTTCATCTCGGTGATATCACGGAGGTTTGACTTCCATATCCAAGAGTTCAGGATTTTTGGGTTGCGGTAAAGTATTCAAACATAACAAAACGCCTCCTGCAGCAGCTGCGGGCTCTAGCCTCGATCTCGCTATCCCTGCTGCAGGGGTTGGCGGAGGGGGGAAGCCTGGAGCTACCTGAGCACATCTGCTCCTTCAAAGGGGAAGCTGGAGCTGACTGTTCTTTTGGCTAAACAGTTTAGGGTTTAAGGGGTTTAGGGTTTGCCAAGGTAGTACAGTCAGCATTCTGCTGCCTGGACTGTTTGTTCACTGGAGTCTACGCATCCCCCCCCCCCCCCCCCCCCCAATCGTCAGAAGCCTCATTACTAATTCTCTATATGGATTTAGGGCCCAAGGGCTCAGTGACAAGCGCGTGACATTATAGCCAGGGCACTCCAGGCATCCCGGTGCTGAAACTGATGAGACACATGAGTCATGCAGGATTTTGGCCACTACGTAAGTGTATGCATCTTCAAGTACCAGTTGCCAGGAACTCGATATGAAAGTTCCGCGAAACCCGGAACCGAATGTGATCTAGGTTGTTCCTTAGGACTCTTTGCAACATAATCTTGAAGATGATCTTGTTAGGCCACCAAGGGGAACATGTCGAACATTCTAATGGCCTACCTTGGAACAAAATCCAAACATGATCCCTTAACGCTGTGGCGAAACCTGAGCTCTAAACCCCTAATCCTAGACCCGAAACCCTAACCTATCAATCCCATGGCGGGCATAGCAAGGACAGCCCAAGGGACAGAAGCGAGGAGCACCGCTGTAGTTTCCTTGGCCGAATGCAGGGCTTTGGGTTCAAAGCTGGGGGACTCTAGCATGACTACACAGGAACTGGTACAGTAGGGGATATGATTACCAAGTTCGGAGTTGTGAGGACCGTGGAGCCTCAGCATGGCTGTCTTGAAGTCTCGGAAGAAGCTTAGACCTGACGCTGAACCCAGGCCTGCCAGGCATGAGAGACACTTGGTTTACTCTGTTCTTGCTTTGGGTTTAGGGTTTTGTGTATGGGAGGGTGTGCAGATGCAGTGCTGGGACGGTCGTACCGCGTTTGAAGCGGCGACGGGCTGATGGTCTCGGGCTCTGTCGGGCTTCGGGACAGCTAGCTTTCGATCATGGCAAAAGGTTAGAGCCTCTGGCAGTCGTTTTCGCTTCTTGATCTGACCATGTTGAAGCACCAGCCGCCTCGATGTTTCCTCGATGCTCAGACACGCCACACATGCAGAGGGGCGGAGGTTTTTTTTTCTAAGTCCGGCCCGCCCCGGCTTGTTTTCCTAAGTCCGGCTCCCTCGTTTGGGCTGCAAACACAGCAAACTGATTTGTAGGGTCTTGTTTTGCTTGTGTTTTGCATCAAGCTATTGAAGAATGACCATTTGCAGGGTCTTGTTTGGCTTGCATCAAGCTAATGGGCAATTACCATTTGCAGGCTCTTGTTTTGCTTGTGTTTTGCATCAAGCTTTTGGGCAATTACCATTTGCAGGCTCTTGTTTTGCTTGTGTTTTGCATCAAGCTAGTTGGGGAACTACCATTTGCAGGGTCTGGTTTCGCGTCTGAATACTGGGGGATTACAATTTCGAAGCTCCTGCCTTGTGTCCTTGTTTTCTGGTGTCGTCGATGTCGTTGTCGTCGTCGTCCTCCTCCTCGTCCTTGTCGTCTTGGTTGTTCTTGTTGTTGTTGTTGTTGTGGTTGTGGTTGTGGTTGTGGTTGTCGTTGCGGTTGTGGTTGTGGTTGTGGTTGTTGTTGCGGTTGCTGCTGCTGTTGGTGCTGGTGCTGGTGCTGGTGCTGGTGTTGGTGTTGGTGTTGGTGTTGGTGTTTTTGTTGGTGTTGGTGTTGGTGATGTTTTTGTTGTTGTCGTCGCTGCTGCCATTGTTTTGTATTGTTGCTATTCTCGTTCTTTTTATTCAGCTTCCTTCTGTTGGTGTTGTTGGAGATGTTGTTGTTGCTGTCGTTGTCGTCATGCTTGCTGTTCTTGTCGTTGTTGTTGTGGGCGGTGGTGGTGTCGCTGGTCAGACAGACAGACAGACAGACAGACAGACGGACGGACGGACGGACGGACGGACGGACGGACAGACAGACATGGATACTGCGGCATGAAGCCTGTCCTCAAGCATTTAAACCTGTAGGGTTTTTGCTGTCGGGCTTCGGGGGGTACGAAGCTTTTAAGGATCCTAAAACTACTTGCTTCGGGTTGCACATGCCACTCGTGAATTTCCTTCAGAGCCTCAGGCTACGATCCAAGGTGTAGGGGCCACAAAAGACAAGCATACAGCTACTGCTGCCGACTACCACTACAGCTGCTGCTACTACCACAACAATTACTACAGTACAACTTTAACGACCATGACCACCGCGACGCCTGCACCGCACCAGGAGGCAAAGCACAAGCAAAACAAGACCGTGCACATTGTAGTTGTTGAAAAGCTTGATGCAAAACACAAGCAAAGGGGACCAGGGGACCAGAGACCGGGGACCAGGGGACCAGGAGACAGGGACCAGGGGACCAGGTGGCCAGACCTACCAAGGCCCCCCAAACCGGGCCAGACCCAGGAAAAAAACAAACCCGGGAGCTATCAAAAAAGGCATTACTGTAATCAACCGCAGAAATGCGGTATAACCAAGTGTCTCAGAGCATTTGTGAATCTACGCGCATACCAATACTCGCGCACAAGCACCATGGTACAGGCAAGGACATCGTACCCTGTCTGCCTGTCTGTCTGTCTGTCTGTCTGTCTGTCTGTCTGTCTGTCTATCTGTCTGTCTGTCTGTCTGTCTGTCTGTCTGTCTGTCTGTCTGTCTGTACTGCCTGTCCGTCTACGCACTCGTGCATGCATGCGCAGCACAAATATGCATGTAGATCTGTCACCGTGAAGTTCTGCACGTATCCAGCTGCTTCTGCGTGGTCGGTTGCACACAAGTACAGAAAAAACATGTGCACCTATGTCGTTATGCGATGGACCGGATGTGTGTATGCATGTGTCCATGGCGTGTGTGCTTCCTATGCATCCGAATGTATGTGCACTCGTATGCACATATCTATGTATGCACGCAGGCTAGAGATCATAAGATTGAAATGCCCCGATGCATGTCCAGAACAAGCGCGAACTCAAGTAGATTTGCTGTTCATGAGCATCTTATACTTACATCTTCGCCTGACACAAACAAAAGCCATCTCGGCAACACAAAGACAAGACTTCTCGACTTGAGTCCCAACCTACAGCGAACCCCAGCAAGCTGGAACATGTGTTTCGGATGATTTATGCTAGGATCCCTTATTCTTTACCTTGAGGGCACGACTTTATGGCTTCCATTTGACTGAAACTGGCAAATGCGGTGGAACACGCGTCTCGTAATCAGCCAAGCTTCTGGCCATGACATGCTTAAGCTTGCCATTCCAGGTCCTCACTTCAGGAGTCTGGGGTGAGGATTTCGGCGTCTGATGGTTCGTAATGCTTCAGGTTGCCGCTCCAAGGAGTTCAGGATCTCAGGTCCTGGACCTAGCGGCTAGGACCTAGCGGTACATTGACTGCTTCAGGGTGTAAGAGCCCCATGCTTTCAAACGCCAAACCCTCAAACAGCCACATGTGGGAAAGGCGGAGTTTCATTGAGCGTACTTCCTAAAACCTATACCCTATAAACCCCAAACACCAAACCCATCTCTGAAGCCACCATGTGACGGGAACTCCTAGCCCGAAGCTCTGCGCCCTGGACCACAGGAACCATTCGACAGACAGGGTGAAGGTGTAGGGTTTATGGTTTACTATCTTCCCGCATGTACCGAAAAAAGGTATCTGGGAAACGACGACTAATACCAAGGCGTAATGGTTTGTTGAGGTTCAGAGTGTTGTGGGTCGAGGGTCGTGTTTTGGGTTTGGGGTTGGGGAAGGTTGCTATTGTGGAAGTTTTGGGAGCACTTCGGACTACGGAGTGTACTGACTACTGTTCGCATCCTTTTGTAGTCCACTATATGATCAAGCTATACCATACCCGAAGCCATGTTGGATTCACAAAAGCTTATATACTAAGACCCTACGGGGGCATCATATTCAAGTTATGCAAGTTAATCAGAACCTTCTGTTACCAAGCGACAGCATCTCTCCGATGTTCTCGCGCTCTGGATCGAAGGCATCTGGGTCAGAGAACACCTGGCCAAAGCAGGAGTATTCATGAGTTGAGGTTTAGGGTTAGGGGTTCAGGTACGTAGAGAGGTAGAGATTCAGGTTTCGTGAAATGTGCGAGATCTTTGTCGTGGAGCCCTCAAGGGTCTCACCAAGAACCAAAGGGCCATAGTTCAGGAAGTCCAATAGCTCTAGATACATTTCAAGAGCTCAATATTCGAAGCTCTTCTGATGTAGCAACTTGGCTGACTTCGCAACTGCTCCTAAAGGTTGAACTTTTAGCATCCTTATAATGGTTCATATAGAAACCCCAAAAGTTAAAGTCCTAAGAGACAACCAGAAGAAATCAAGGTAAGTTATGATCATTAGCCTTTCTAGCATGGTCATTAGCCTTGTTAGCGTCCCTTCCTTGTCCTCATAACTCGTTTTGCACTTCTTCTCCCGGAGCCAAAACATAGCGGCCTCCCAACGTGTAGACCCCCCTGGTCCAAGAAGCGGTTCAAACATGTCACGTAGCTTGCATAGGCAGAGTTCGCTTTAGTTTCACTTCACTGAACTGTTGAACCTATGCCGTATTGACATGCTACTCCGGTGCAAGTGTCATATTCGGTTTACTACCTCAACTTGAACAACCTAACAAGGCTTCATTCCACCATAAGTTCTCAGCACATCCCCACAGCTTTTACCACGAAAAAGAAGTCCTAAAGCGCCATGGACAAAGCCCTGGTTAAGTCCTGGCCTGCACAGTCTTAGACCCTCCTGTAACAAGAACAGATCCTAATCCCTGAATCCCATCATCTGATGCGTCTCAAATCCAACAACCCTCAACCAAAAGTGCCATCACGAAACTCCCAAAACTCTGAAAGCCGTCCGGTATGGAACCTTAAGGACCCCGTTTTGGGCGTAGGCTTGGGTGTCTCCTTTGATGGGGTTCCTTAAAGGGGTCTGACCTTGGGGTCCCGGTTGGCAGTCGATATCACCATGGTGACTGGCTGATCTGCGGGGAAAGGTACCTCCGAGCTTTGGGGTTCAGGGTTTACCTCAAAGCTTTGGGGATTAGTGTTTACCTGTGGCCGTCACAGACCTGCCTTTTTAGGGTTCCTTATTGTGGTTTTTCCATATAGTCCCTTAAGAAAGGTAGGTCATTTCAACTACAGGTAGAGCTTAGGGTCTACCAGAAAGCTTTGGTGTCTAGGGTTTAGTGTTTACCTCCGAGCGTTGGGCTTTAGGATTTTGGTTTGCCTCCACGCTTTCGGCTGCGGTTTAGTGTCTTGGTTAGAGATTCCGGCTTCAGGGCTCTCGGGTTCAGGGTTTAGCGGCTTCGGGTTCAAGGCTTAGGCCTTAAAGGATCAGGGTTTAGGGTTTAAGGGACGTAATCAAGAAGCAGGGCTGCACGCAGGGAAAGGACATACAGTAACCCAAGCCACCTCCGACCGACCAGCATGACGGGTTAAGGTTGCTCTGGTGATAGAGAATGTTGCTGTTCTGCTATAAGGGTTTGTAGTTTAGGGGTTGAGGTTTTACGGATAGTGAATGTTGCTGTGTTTCTATATTACCACTATTACTACTTCTACTGGCACCATGGAGCCGAAAGCCACCATCGCAACAGCCACAAGTGCGACAATTATGCCTGCGAGTTTGTCGGTCGGCAAGGATCCCCGACAACACCTCGTTGAGGGTTGATTGAAATCAACAGTCTCTCTACGCTGCCTGCTGTTTGAGTTGGACCTGGCTCCATGTTAACAGACGCTCTCTCTCCGGAAGCCCCACTGTTAGCATTCCCGCAGCCATAATTCGATTTCACGTCCACCTGCAGAAGTGTCTGGCCCCAAGGCTGCTTTACAGGAACTCCCTGGCTCTCAACCCAGCCTCTTGGACCGTACACGACCCGAAGACTCAACCAGGTGTGGTAGGCTTAGGGTTTAGGTGTCTAATGCTTAGGGCTATAGTGGGTTCTGAAGGGTTACCTACCAAGACCAAAAGACTGTCGCAGCCGCAAGAGCTGCAAAACAGTCGCGGCCAACGAGCTCCTAAATTCGCCTTACACCCCAAAGAACCCAAAGTACCTTTGTAGTAGAATGTCGGGTTTCTGTCTTCGGAATCCTTACCATCACTTGGGAAAGTATCCCCCCCCCATAACAGTATCCAGTTCGGGTAGCCTCAAACCTGAAGGCCACCAAGTCGCTACATGCCCAAAAACTCCGCAGAGGGTACAGTAGGATTTTGGAGCAAAAACGTTATCCTCACTAAGTCTCACTAACACTGTTATTGTTCATTTTCCAGACGCCAATATTCTCTGAGCTGCCTTGTGCCCCTCGAGCATCCATGTGTCTGCCTTCCCGACTGTCGTCGTGAACCTTATCAGCAACAGTGAATCGTCAGGGTTTGAGGATGTACGGCTCAAGAGGCTCAGGGTTTCGGGTGATTCAATGCTGATTCAGGGACTTAGATGTTTCTCCACCCTGTGATGAATCCCCGACACTCCAGAAGCCACAAGTAGGTTCTGCTTGCAAGCGTTAGACCCCGAAGTAGGTACTGATCGTATGCTTGGAGCCTCAGGAATTTTTGGTAGGCTACAGTGAGGCAGCCGCGTGGTAGGCCCCAGAAGCGTCCAAGCTGCTACTCAGACATTATAATAGATATGCTAGGAGCTGCAGCGGTTTAGGATTTGGGTTCAGGGCTTCAAGGCTTCATGGTCATGGTTTTAGGGCTTAGGGTCTATGGGTTTGAGGCCTATGGCAGTGCCACAACTGCTAGTCATGTGATATTGAAAAACTGTGACAACGCCTCTGGCAAGAAGAGAATGTGGGTACTAGCAAAAATAGAAGGAGCAACAAACACCCTCAACCTGCTCTCGGATGCTTAAATGCCCAAGTCGTCATAGTATCGACTATATATATATATATATATTCTGCATATACTATAATGCATCCACACAGGTTCTTGAGCCCCTGCTTCGCATTCAAGCTGCTGCTGCACTGCCCCATCCGTCCGCATCAGCTCATGCAAGTATGCTCCCGTATTCTTGCGGAACATCATTACGTGCTGATAGTCCTTGAAGGCTTTAGGGTTTAAAGGGTTTAGGTCTTAGCAGGACTTGGGGTGTGATGATGACAAGGCTTGTCTCTCAATGCTATACAGGGGTGGGGAACGGGACTGTCGCAGCTCGGAAGAACTGTCTGCGGCTGCAGCCTCTATGCTAACGATAGGAGACTGGATGGTGGTGAAGCCTTGTCTCTCAATGCAAGCTCTTGGGGTGGGGAGGGTGGTACCGATGAGGACTGTGACAAGGCTTGTCGTAGACATGACGATTCCGATGTACTCAGCGGTTGAAGCTCGCTTCCCTAGAAAGCCGTACATGCCCGAAACCCTGCATCCCTGAACAGCCGCGGTCCTTGAACTGAGATTGCACACACTTGGTTGCCATATCAGTCGTCCCCAGGAGGCCAGCGAAGAGCCTCATGTGACAGCGTAAGGGTTGTCCTAGGGGTTGGGTAGATTAGGACTCACACTTCATTACGAGCTTAGGCTATGTAAGGCTTTTCAGAGACCTCCGTGTTCAGGGCTTGCTGCTAGCCGGCAAGAGAGTAGCCGCAAGAACGTAGGTTTTTCTCCGTTTAGCGACTCTAGATGCGACTCCTTGTTCTTCAACCCTGATGTCAATCAAGACCAACATTTTCAGGAGCTGCTCCCGCAACAAGCTCGTCAGAATTCATGACTACACGAAACTGAAAGGACCGAAGGAGGTTCGAACGACATGATTTATACCAAAGGAGTCAGAGGTATGAACAGACATTGCGCAGGCCACAAACTAAGATGGTGATGTCTGCAGTTGTTGGCCTTGGCCCATAGGACGGTGGGACCCTGGACTTGAAGCACGTACGGGTCAAAGGTTGGCCGGTGCTCAAGCTAATAGAAACAGCCTCAAGTGCCTCAAGTCTTCCAACATCCCTTAACTTAGGTTCCATCATTCAGGATACCCCTGCGCACTTTGGATAATCCTTTTCAGTGAAAGGATTTCGGAGCCTCAGGGTATTGGGGCCATGAAGCTTAAGCACTCACAATCGTGGCAACATTGATGCCAGCACCCTGCTATGAACCCGAAACCGAACTAAGTGCTTATCAACCGTTCAGGGTGTATAGGGTTTGGGGTTTTGGGTTCATGATGTCAAGGTGCGAGGCATCAATCACCGAACGGAGCATCACGTCTTCCAAAGAGCCGGCTTGAGCTGCCAGAATCTTCCTTGCGTTGTGCGGATGAACAAGCGGCATACGGTTTAGGATATGGGGTTTAGGGTTAAGTGTCTAGGGTTAGGGTTATTTAAATGTCCAGGGTTCGCGGCTATAGTCTTTGATATGAGATTTGGTACCTGAGAACGGTAGGATTGGTTTTGCCGCACTTGCTGCTGTCCGTTTCTAGGACTGGCGAAGTAGCATGCTGCCCAGAGTGCCTCTCCAACCAAAAACACCACATCTCACGATCCCAGCCCCTACCGTAACCCAAATAACCTACGTTCTCATGGACCTACATATTGAAATGCAAGCTGGAAACCTACGAAACTAGGTTCCTTAGGGTCCGGGTAGTATAGCCTAAATCCACCATCCGACTTCCTTGTGCAAAGCCGGGGCTCTTGAGAGCAGAGAACTGCGGCTTCTCGATCAGCTTCCTGGGTTTAGGGTTTAGGGTTTAGGGTTTAGAATGGCGTTGCTCTGAAGGAAACAGGGGGCCTCGCTTTGAGGTTTCGGATTCCCTTTTCCACAACTAATGGGGCCTTTTCATAGTTAGAAGACGGTTTTGGATCATGTTACGGTATAACTACAAGTAACACAAAGGACTAGCAATCCTAGTATACAGTACCAGCCTAATACAGCTCGTAAGACTCGTCGTAAGAGCTTGGCGTTCAGAGCTCACCTGGGATCCCGACATCGATCTGAGTTTAGGAAAAAAAAGGTGCGAGACATTGAAGCGACTTCTCAGTGGTGCTGGTGATGTTAGTGGTTGTGACGGTCACTAGTGGGAGATGGCGCATGGTGAATGTCCGTCGACGATTTCGCACACGATAACTGACTGTGGTTGACATGAGTCTCAGTTCATGAGGTTGGTGCCAAGTCTTCCTGGCATGCTGCACAAACAAGTCAGAAACCCGAATTAGACCCTGAGTATCTCAAGAGGTGGCGTCTGGGACGCTATGGTTTAAGCCAAAGCTGTGCTTCAGCAGCCGTACCCTTGAAGACCCGCACTCACAAAAAGCAGCATTTGCAAATTCGCAAGGACTCGGCCCCTGAATCATTGAACTCGAGCGCCAAATCTCCGAACCCTAGTCCGGAGACGATACTCCCTAAATCCTAAACCCAAACCCGAAATGCATGATCCCGAAATCCTGAACCTAATCCTACAAACCGGAAACCAAACTCGAGACACTAAATCCCGGTACTCCTACCCTGCTCTATATAGCCCTAAACACCCTACACCCTAAAATCCTGGTAATCCTAAAGCCGGCGTCATCAATTTCTCCGCCGTGGGCGAACCCCGCGCAAAGGCCATCGCCGCCTGCGGTTACTGCTATAGGGCTATAGGGTTTTGGTCTAGGGCTTTGTAGGGGTTGTGTGTAGGTTTCACCAGATCATAATGTGCTTCTTTGTGTTTATAAGCTTTGCAGGATTCTCTGTAGCTTTGAACAGAATTTCTATGAGTGTTATTTATAAGGGCTACGGTTGCCAGCTGTTTTACAGTGTTTTCGGGCTAGGCTTTAGTTCAGGGCGCAGGGTACTTAGCATCGAGCAGCCGAAACTCTTGGGGGCCCTAAGCACCTATATAGTAGAATGTAGGGATTCTATAATAGGAATCATGATCATGATTTGGGAAAATATCCAGCCATGACGGCACCTAGGACCCTTTTAGTTTCATAATCATGCAGGCATCGGGTGCCTTAAGTAGTCGACCAAGGTTTGGGGTAAATTCTTCAGGATAATCACGTGGGAATTGGAGGCAACTACTGCTAATCGGCTAATCGTTCAAACTTGAAAAAGTTCCAGCGTACGACGGGGAACCAACGGGCGTCGTGAGGTAAGAGATACCGATCTCCCCAAATCCCTGAATTAAGGAATATACCTTAATTATAATAAGAACCGAAATATGGACTAAGGTATATTATTAATTCCTTAATTACGAGACTTTGGAAGATGTGGGGATCTTGGTGGCCTTGCACAGAAAGAGGATCGCAAAGCTCACAACTGAAACAACCGATCATCCTGCTTCAGGGATGCATCCCTTGCGTGAACGACACCAGGCTCAGGGCGTGACAAGGTTCTGTGCCCTACACCTAAACTTTCCCCCCTCTCCCCCCTCTCAAACATATAGTGACCAATCATATAGTGACCTGCGCAAGCTCGAAACAAAACCAGCAACATCAAGCCTCCTGTGAAGATTTCACCACCCAAGTCTGCACGATGCCCGATTTCTGTCCTCAATGCGCAGGCTGTGATGTCCAAAGATTCCAAAGCCCTTACCGTTGGGCTTTGAGGACTCATATCTGTCAGACCTCACCACAACCGGCTTCTAGGCTGGGCTATATGACAAAACGAACTCTAGCTGATGCCCACCCCCCCCTCCAAGCCCAAAGCCACAAACCCACGAATCTCGCTTCCCACATGTCAGCTACAACCCCCTACACGCCCCCAGCCAAAGATTGGGGTCGTAGGCCACGACTACCCGAAACCCTAAACCCTAAAACCTTAACCCTAAATACCCTAAACCTGAACCCTCAGCGTTTCGGAATTGTTGGGCTTCACTGGGCTTTTGGGTCTTTAGCTGCGGGGTTTGGGTTCGAAGACGCAAGCTTGAGAGCAAGTCTGGGCCTACCCAGGGTCTTCTTTTCTTAGTTTTACCACATAATTAGGATCCTACAGGGTAACCTCAACAATAAATCTACAATGGAAGGTATCTTTTAAGGTAACCTCAAACAGAACTAGAATGGAGACTACGGTACAGGTCAGCTTTGATTGGGATTTGAGGTTGCGGCTTGAAAGCAGTGAATTCAGGGGGTTTGAGACGGTGCCCTCCAGCACTGAAGAACTTAAAGCGTCCTCGGGGCTTCGGGGCTTATAGGGTTTTGGGCTTAGGGCTCGGGGTTTAGGGATTCATAGCGGCTCTGGCGCTAAAATGCTCCGAGACTCCCCGCTTGCCCATGATGCACATCTTTCCGAACTCCAGGTAAGGCAGAACCCGGAGCACCTCCGAGGAAGACATCCTGGGCCCGGGAGCAAATAGGGTTTAGGGTTTAGGGCTTGGGGTTTAGGGTTCAGGAGGCAGAAGAAGCCTTCATTCCTACACTCTACCTACCAGTAGAGTCTCCAGTATAGTTCGCGTTTAACCCAGGATCCTAAATATGAACTTGGCTCATCCAACTAAAGGGACGACTATAGGCACACCCTGAACCCCTAAACCGCGAGCCCTGGATCCATCCCAGTCAAAGACCCGAATGAGCGAACACAACAACGTTGCGGCTGAAGAGGAAGATGCTCAAACGCTATAAACCCTATCTAAAATCCAAATAACCCTCTTTCAGGGTTCCTGATTCTGATTCCCTTATATAAGCCCTTCAGAAAGAGGCTTTCCAAGTAACCCCTAAGCCCTACACACGGCTTCAGGCTCAGCATGCATGGTGTGGTCGAGGTTACCCAAATTGTCCCGCCATAGCAGAATATGGGGTTGCTAGAATCGGAATTACCAATATGGGTTGGGCATCCATCCCGTTGCGTTCAAGGTGATAACCGGAGGATTTAGGATCAAGAGCTGGTTGGTCTGCTACCGATTCTGTTGCGACTTCATCAATCCTAGTGTCTTACGGACATCAAACACGATAAAGGGTAGAGCCGCCGAGACTCGTCTTTCTCCAAATGCCCTCGAACACAAGCGGCAGCACAATCCTTGCAAACTTGGACATGAGGATCCATAGATAGGACTGCTTGCTCTTCATGCCAAATTTGAGGATGGAGCCCATGACGCAGATATTACCCCCTGAGTACCGCGAAACGTGCCGGAAACCGAAGCATTACATGCTTCGTTTGTTCCAGCAAAACCTCTAGGATGTAACAGTACGGCTGCGTTTGGTGTTTTGGTTGCCCATGGTGGATGAAAGGTGAAACTGTAAAGTTGGAGCATCGGTTGGTGCTGCCATTGGCTCGGGGTATTTCGGTTGAGGGTTATGCATCTACAGCCCTTCGGCCCATTCAGGATTCAATCATGCTCATATATTGCGACATACTCGGATGTTCACTTCCTTTGACCTGTATCGCACGTGTGCATCGTATGTATGACAGAGAGTCCCGCAACCTGAACCCTGTTCTTCTAAGCCTCAGATCCCAATCCGAAACAGAAGGTTTCAGCAGCGATATGAGTAGCAGTACACAGTCCGAAATCTCACAATACTTAGGGCACAGTCATCGTAATCGTGTTCAACACAATGATAAGACCAAGCTCGGACAGGATAATGAAGAATCAACAGCACGGGCAGCCGCATGGTTATCAGTAAGTACGTCCCAAGCCCAACCCCGAACCCAACCCAAACCCTAAATCTTATCAACCCTAAACGCTTAATCCTACACCCTATAAGCTGCCCTAAACCCTAACAGCCCTAAACCCTTAAACCCGACCAACCCTAAACCAAATGCCACGCTATATCCAGATCCGGTGCTTGCCGACTTCCAGCTCCGTCGGGGGTGGGAGAAATCTGCGGGCGCCGATCAGCTTCCGAATCCTCAGGCCGCCGTTTAGGGTTTAGGGCTGTTTGGGTTTAGGGGTTTAGGGTTTAGGGTTTAGGGGCTAGGGGTTAGGAGTTTTGGGGGCCACTTAGGCGTTTAGGGGTTTATGATTTGGCTTCAGGACTGAGGATTTACGCCGAATGGTTTACCGATTGCGGAATATAGAGAACCTTATGATCAGAGGTCTCTTTGGGGAAGGGTTTGGGCGGGTTTGGGGCTTAGGACTGTGGTCTCGGAATAAGCGTTTCAGGCCTAGGGTTAAGCCACCCTGCTGACCAGCTGCGAAGCCACATCTCAGCCAAAACAAAGACTGAAAACCACATGGCTGACCAAGGCTTCCGCTTTAGGACCCAGCCCGCCGAAACCCTACAGCCTGAACTGCATAACCGCGAACCCATCCCCATATAGTTGTTTCTTCGACTGCCATCTTTTGCCACTTTTTTCCACCCGCCTGATACAACCCGTAGAGACGGTATAGGACCCTTTAGAACCTTTATAGACTTAGAATAACCCTTGCAGATGCGCTATATGACCCTTACAGAGACCATAGAGCCCTTGTAGTCCCTCAACACCGCCGTTTTGAGCCAGTCACTTCTCTGTCCATGCTGTCTCCAAGAGGGAGGCGGCGGAGGGGAGATCTTGCTTGTGCATGTCCTCAAGGAAGACGGCTTTGGGGCAGATCGTTGTAGGCCTTTCGGGGTGAAACTTCGAATAAGACTCCACGACCACAGCAAAAACTGCAACTTCCTGGAAACCCTAAACCCCAAACCCTCAACACAAAATGCCCACCTAAACCTAGACCTAAACCCTAAACCCTATCCCGAACTGACGGAGACGCTGGCTTCAGAGCGCAAATAGGGCTTAGGGTTTAGGGTTAAGACGTCTAGGTTTCCCTGCTTGTATCTCATACTTGGACCCCAAGAGACCTACTCTATTTAGGGTTCCTGAATATGGAATTCCATATACACGTTGGGGATAAGGTAGGCTTCTTTTCTTGAGGGTATCTTATTCCACCCACTTCAATCCGATGTAGGGCGGTGGGTCTGGGGTTTAGGATGTAACCTAGGGTTTAGAGTTTAGAATTTACCGGAGACCTAAAGCCGAGCCGCCGTGCCCAAATCTGTAGTAGGCATCTGCGTGCCACACAAAACGTAAAAATGGCCCCGAAGCAGCAAAAGCACACATGTAGACCCTAAGACCAAATCAGTAGGTACCCCTAAACCCGAATCTCTCAACTCCCTAAAGCATCACTCGACGGTGTCCTGGAAACCAGCCTCGTCGAGAAGAGTTCGCCACTGCGTGTGCTCGGGCCTTTTTGCTTCAGTTGGCAAGCTTTGAGATCAATGTTTAGAGGTAGGGTCTGCGCCTAGGGTTCTAGGTTCAAGGTTTAGAGGTCTATACTGTCTATACTTTATACCCTGTGACTGAGTGCATGTAGGGTGCTGTTGCTGCAGGTAGGGTTTCTGTCCACTTGGCTGAGGATGTCCGGTACAGGGTTGTCGACTTGGAACAAACAATCAAGTTGGGGCCTGGGCTTCAGCCCCAAAGGCTAAGCCCGAAGCCCTATAAACCTTTTTCATTAAAACTATGATATAGCAGATACCCTGAAACCTTAAACCCGAACATGTTCTCTTAGCCCCTGGCGAGCCCGACGAGTAGAACAACGGAAGCGTCGGAAGGTGGCAGTCCTCGAACAGTTGGAATTTGCATATCTGCTGCAATTATTGTTGTTTGTTTCCCTGTTCCAACCTCCTTAATATGGGGTCATCAATCTCCTAACAGCACATCCCCCAAAACACTAGCTTGGAAACTTTGTTATGCAACTCATGTTCAGGAGTTGCAGTCATTGATGGGTACACCCCTGTCTGAAAAGAAACTATCGGGGCCCTTGAAGAAAGAAACTATCGGGGAAACAAACAAAGAGCGTATACATAATCAAGGATCGCATATAGGGCGGGAGGCCTAAATCACTAGCAGGATGATTTTTTGGGCGGGAAGTGAGATTAGATTCTACTTAGAATAGGAACCCTGACAGAGACAGCAGGCTTTTTTGCCTCTTTCAGAAGGCCCTGGCCGGATGTACCTAACAGCCAAGACCCTCTGGTCTTCCAACCCAAAGGGTCATAATTCCTGTATAGTAGAACATAGGGTTCTGCACCCTACATCCTAAACCCCAAACCCTAAACCGTAATCATTACGTATTATGATTTGGGAAAGTATCCCCAGCATCGGCATCCAGGACTCATTGGGCTGGCTGAGGAGGATCCCGATATTCCCCAACACAAATGAAGGCTCAGGGCTTATAGGGCTTGGGGATTAAGGGGCAACGCACCGTGATTTTTATGGACTCATGGAACTTGCAGTGTGACGCTACTCGTACCTATCGTAAGCTAGAGTCGTCATCCACGCTAATTAGCTGTGGTAGCTATCGAATATGTCATGCCAGAGGAGGTGGATTTGCGCCTGCGGGACGGCAATCTGGCTGCCGTGATCATATACAGCCCAAGAGGGTCCAGAAATACTACTATGGAAATAGGTCCCCCAGAACCATTACCAGGATGGTCTTTTGGGACCTAATGCCATAATGGTATTGTATGTGGACCTCCTGGGAGCCTTCTGAGATCCTACGACCTGCTTCCCTTTCTGTGCATTTCAACTTGAAAAGTCCTCCGCTGCTGGCGTTCCCAGCATAGCGTAGATCCGTGGCCTCAGAGCATCGTGTCGATGCGTCGCGGCTCGTGTCCAGGCATATATGTCTCCTATGTACGATACCCTTTATATTGTGTACTTTGCATCGTCATGAGTCATATAGTAACGACTCAATATACAATATGTGTGTATGTATATGTAGGAAACTTTCTACCAAGCCCACTACACACTATATATTCTAGACTACTTTAGTTCCTTTCCCTAAGAAAATACCCTTTCGGGTCTCAGCCCTCAGTGTTTGCACAGCTCCGGATCTGGCAATCGAAACCCAGGCTTCTGAGTCAAGGCCTCGGGTCCAGAGAACACTAGGACGAGAGGGAGGTTTAGGGTTTGGGCATTTAGGAGTTAGGGCCTTAGGGCTTTTGGCTTTAAGGTTTATTTGGGGTTGCATAGGGTTTATAAAAAGGACTAGGGTTGAACAAATTCGTTTCGCTCCTCGCTCTGGGATCTCGTCATAGGTGCGAGGCTCTTGCGGCGTAGTGTCCAGGGAGCAGGCCAAGGAATTCGGGTTCGGGGTCCATCAGAATATGATCATGAGTCAAATTACCACATACACTTTCTCGACCTCACCTGGGTCCCCCCCTCAGAATATTTCATTCATGTACAGGGCAGGCTATACAACGCCAAGAGGACAGCTCAGGGCTTACACCCTGAGCCCTACGCCGTCAAAGCACTAGTATCATGACAGAACAGAGATCCTAGAGGTGTAAGCCAGCCATAACTCTTAACTACTGCTACCCAAGTTCCTGGTGATTGAGTTCTTGGACCCTTATAAGCAGCTGTAGACTGCAGTGCGTATTCTTCCACCCGGCGGCTGATTTGGGTCGGCTTGTGCTTTGGCGACATCCTCCCAGTCTACAGCGTCGTGCCAGTCTAGGTTTCAAGGGGTTCTGGGCTCTTTCGGCCTGGGACACCAGCCTTCAAGATGGGAGGCTTCGAGGCTAAGAGGGCTGTTGTACGAGAGGCCAAATGCAAGAGCTCAGACAGGGTCTAAGGTTCAGGGTTTAGGGCTTAGAAAGAAGATGCCTCCGATATACACGAGTCATCAATGCACCCCGCCCTGCCGGCCAACCCTCTTCTGACTACCCAGGACCAGCTGTATCTCTCGCCACTATACTAGATGATAGTGTTTGTTTGACAAGCACAGTTTAGTTGGTGTCACAGTCAGGTCATGTGATTAACATCACCCATGTATCAACGGCGTTGATCTTATGATTCCTGATAAAATGCCTTTTTAGAGGAAAGGGTTGAATAACCAGGGTACATAAATCGTGTATGTCCTGTGGAAAGTTTAATTAGACGAAGGACCCGTAGATAACTGCTTAGTCGTAGGAACCTTCGGAATGTAGAATGTCTGAACAACACAAATCTCCAGTCTTCAGAACGCCCCAGCTTTGTTGTTAAGACGTCGGGATCATGCCGGGGGTGTTTTGGCAGCTCTGTGACTTGAGCAGTAGTCGTCAAGTCCAGAAGTGCCAAAGTCTACTTGTTCTTTAACTCAGTGTGCATCTACGCCCCTTGCAGCTGGTGGCAACAGTAACCTGATCTTTCGCAAACACTGGCTGCCGCACAGGTCTGGGCCCTCGCAGTCCTCGTAGTGGAACACCATCGGGGCATCAATGAAGGGTACCGGCTCAGCACAGTTCAATGTGGCGCACATGGAGAAGGCGGTGGTTCGATTTGCAAAGGTCGGCATAAACGTCGCCTCAGCTGACAGAGCTTAGTCTGGGGTGAAGGCAAAGTAATTGTGTAATCAAGGGGCCTTAATGATTCGAATAGGGTTTGGGGTTTACTCTCTCTCTCTCTCGGTGTCTCTCTCTCTCTCTCTTTTCTGTGTCTATATATATATATATATTTATGAATAAGAAGGGACCGTAAGGAATAATGTTGGTAATAGTTCCGGTTTCTACACTACATTAGGTGGGAAGGCTTGCAGTTTGGTGTACCTCCCCAATTGGAGCAACCTTTATTTCCAGAGACCAGGAGTATCGCCCCAACTGCAGCCAACAGGGAGCGTACCTTCTAAGACTTCATACTTATAGGAACAAGAAGAATGACTGGACTAGCTCCTTATCATTCTGTTTGCTTTATCTTTTTTGCCCCTCCTGACCGCGTTCTTGTCAATAAGTCAGCTTTGATAGATGAACCCGTAAGCCAGTCTCAATGACTCAACAAATCAGATGTGGATAGCAGAATCAAACCTAACTTTCTGAAACTTCAAACCCCGTCATCATCCCCGAAACTGAGAAGTTGATTTTTGGGAATCCGCAGCTTCAACCGATGTAATGGCCGATCACCTTCACTGCTATTTAAGGGTCTATGTCAATGGCTTAGGGTACAGGGCTTACCGATCTCTCGATGAAGAACTAACTTTTCCACGCATGTGCACCGTGTTCATTCTCTGCTTTACACATGGCACCCTGTTCTAAACCCTAATGCCCTAAACCCAAACCCTCAACCCTAACCCCGAAGCCCTAAACCCCAAACCCTGAACCAGGATTTCACTTGTGGGCATGCCCAACCTCGAATCGTCGCTCGAAGTCTTTACCTCTCTATCCCTCTCTCTCTGTCTCTGTCTCGTTTTTCCTGTCAAAAACCATCAGAAACCTAAACCTTTCAAGCCATTAACCCTAAACCACCCAAAAAACAATCACGCCCTAGCGAACACTCCCGAACTTGCGAGCCAGTCTTTGGAAGAGCAGCGATCGAAGCTGCATGGACCGTCGAGTCATAGAGCCTTAGCATCCCTGGGGTTGGGAGGTTTAGGGTACCTTTCGGGTTCAGGGTTTAGGGTTTCTGCTCCAGGGTTTAGAGTTTCGGTTTAGGGTTTCGGGTACTTTTTGCGGGGTCATGCCGCTCCCAATCCTTAACCCTGACCTGAACCCTGAACATCCCTGAACCCTTACAAACACAAACCCTACACAACAAAAGAAACACGGACAGTTGTGCTTCCTAGCAGCGACATGTTGCTGCTCCAGGGTGGAGTTTTTGACCAAAGACTGGAGCGATACGACAACTCCTGGCAGTGCTTCGCGCAAGCTGTATCTCAGCCACAACACCCAGCGACATTAAACATGCCATAAAAACACGTGTATAGGAACAGAGACACGTTCTATGCCAAAAATGATGATTAAACAACTAACAGCTACGTACATATACACATGTACTCAACACGGTATAGATGAGACAACGCAGCATAAGAGAATGTCAAGGGACATTCCGGCAATATTTCAAGTCTCAATTCTTAGAACGACGAACCCGAATGTATGCACATCTTTTAACTTCAGACCTTGATGCAGTGCTTTTGGTGTGTGTGTGTCTCTATGGCTAGGCTCTGTCAGGATCACGGTTGCGATTGGCTCTACCGGCCACTACGGTCGGAAGCCAAGATCGTGGAATAGGCCGTCGCAGGAGCAGCAGTGTAGTCGTAGCAGCAGTACGTAGCAGTAGCAGTAGTAGCAGTAGCGGTAGCAGTAGTAGCAGCAGCAGCAGCAGTAGCAGCGGCAAGCAGCAGCAGCAGCAGCAGGAGGTGGAGGAGTAGTAGCAGTAGTATTTGAGGTCGTAGCAGCAGCAACAGCCGTAGCAACAGTAGTAGTAATAGTAGTATGAGTAGTAGCAGTAGCAGCAGTAGTAGCACCAGTAGCAGTAGTAGCACTAGTAGCAGTAGTAACAGCAGTAACAGTAGCAGTAGCAGCAGTAGTCGTAGTAGTAGTAGTAGTAGTAGTAGTAGCAGCAGCAGCAGTAGTAGTAGAAGTCGTCGTCGTCGTAGCAGCAGCAGTAGCAGCGCTCGCCGCAGTCGTCGCAGTAGTAGTAAGAATGATAGTAGCAATATAATGTAGACTTTAACAAAAAACAGCAATAAGGAAGCATACATCTCACAATGTAGTAACGCTGATAGAATAGAGGATAGTAGTCTCAAGAACAACGTCGGTAACGATGATACCAATGTCAGTACCACTACAGAAACAAATACAGTATGTCGCCATCTATCCATATGTCTATGCACATCGATCTGTGTATTCAGTTTGCATGTATTTACATCCATGCACAATGTACGAACCCAGAGACTCCAATATCCCTTCATTGAGGAATATACCTTAAATCATGTTAAGGATCCTACTATGATTTAAGGAATACTCCTTAATTAAGGGATATTGGAGTCTCTGGGAAGATTCCTAAACCCTAAACCCTAAACCCTAAACCCTAAACCCTAAACCCTAAACCGTAAAGACAAATCTGGGAGATGCCTTGGGAGCCGGCGGCCCCAGGCAGACTTTGTCCTGCCTGCACACGGATGTCATTTTGGGGCCTCCAGAGTTAGACTAGGGTTCCCTTAAGGGGTTATGTACGGGTACTATATCTAGGGTTCAGGGTTTAGGGTTTAGGGTTTAGGGTTTAGGGTTTAGGGTTTAGGGTTTAGGGTTTAGGGTTTATCTATCTTTGTATATATATATATATATATTTCTTTATACAGGTGCTTTCATAATTAGAATAAGGTTTTGGGGTGTATAGTATCAACCTAGGGAACGGCAATCCTAAATGTTCAAGCCCCGATATTAGAGGTGTGTAGGGGAAGGAGTGTTTTTCGGGAGAAAGTTTAGGGTCAGGGGTTTTGAGGCTTAGGCTTTAGGGATGTGGGGCTTGAGGCTCACGGCTGTATTTAGGAAGGTGCCACAAGTGCTTCTTTGGAGTGAGCGCTTTTGCACCGTGCTTGGGTACCCAGAGACTCCAATACCTCTTAATTAAGGAATATACCTTAAATCATAATATTAAGGCCCCTATAATTTAAGATATATTCCTTAATTAAGGGGTATTGGGCTCTGTGGGAAGTAGATTGTAAATATGGTACCAAGTAGCCTAGTCGGGTTCAGTACACGGGCTACGCTGCTACAAAAACCCTCTTCGACCCTTCTGAACAAGTAATACAACCACACTAGTAAGAAAACCACGCTAAACCCTAAACCCTAAACCCTAAACCCTAAACCCTAAACCCTAACAAGTAGTACAACCACACGAACCCTAGGAGCATGACAGCTTTCAGCCAGGATGCACGAAGATACCCGTGATCTCACCGGTGCCGTAGGAGACGGTAATCTGATCGCGGGCCTGGCTTCTGCGGTTTGAGGTGTAGGGAGGGTTTAGTGGCTTGGGTTTAGGGTTTAGGGTTTAGGGTTTAGGGTTTAGGGTTTAGGGTTTAGGGTTGAGGGTTGAGGGTTTAGGGTTTAGGGTTTAGGGTTTGGTTTAGTTCTTAGGGGCTTTGCGGGTTTAGGGCGTTTAGGAGTTTGAGGGGATTTGGTGACTGAGGCTGATATGCAAAGGATCAGACCGTGTCAGCATTGGCGCTTGCTGCTGGGGCTACCTGTACTTTACTTTACTATACTTTACTCTACTTCACTATACTCCACTATAACAGAATATACTATACTATACTTTACTATACTGACTTGTACTATTCTTCTGTGGCCTGGTTCGGCATCACGAGCGAGCCGTCGACATCGATGTCTTTGGCAACCTCGGAGAGCGCAGGTTTTCAGAAGCAAGCGGCTCTCAATGCTCAGCCCTCGCCCACTGGCCACGGTTTAGGGTTTAGGGTTTAGGATTTAGGGTTTAGGGTTTAGCGTTTCGAACCAGTGAAAACTCCTCTACACCGCTGGCAGCAGGAGTTGGGCACAACACCGCAGAAACGGAACCCTTCCTCGT